ATGTCCTTCGCATAAGATGTCATTTGACTGTGAAAATGCACACATCGGATGAACATCATAGCGAAGGATTTCTACCCTGTGGCATTCGTGCGGCTCTATACAGAGAACAAAATCGCTGTAGGTGTATATTACAAGTTTGTTGACAATCAGATCGACAATTGGATGGTCCCACGCATTTACTGGAAGGCCACCGTTGCTCGTCATTGTGCCAAACCTCGAGTAACTGTATTATACGTAGTAACTGTATTACTATCCCTGAGTCTCATGTGTTATACGAACTTCTTCCGAAGGTTGGCAATGAGAACCCGTACATGAAACACCTTTATTGGTGAGCTTTCGCTGTAATAACAGCTTCCTCAGACCTTAAATATGAAATCAGGCACAATGGTATTACAATTTCTAATAACATTAATTTGGTCGAAATACAAACCGTTCACCTGCCTGCCAACATCGTTTGGTTATATTCTGCAATACAATGCCTAATACACTGATACGAGTACAATTAACAATTCAACTACAACGAATGATCAGCTTATCCTAGCGCAACTGCCAACGCAACTGTAAGAGTCACTATATAAATGCGACGCGCGTGACATTTGTCAGTACTTCTTTTATCGCTACCGCTACTCTATTAGTCTCATTGCTTTCATGAGCTCGTCCCTGTTGTTGATCTCGTGAGATGGCTGCTTGATAGGGAGCGCTTCGAGCAATCTTCTTTCCAATGAGGCTTGGAAGATCACCCTAAAAGGGGTTTCTCACGACTTCGTGCTCTACCCCACCAGCAGGAAGCACCTCCGCTCTAAAAGGTACAGTGATACACCGCACGAAGGAAGCCCCATTGGAAAGAAAATTGCTCGAAGCTCGCTTTCAAGCGGCTATCTCCCTAGATCAACAACAGGGACGAGCTCATGGAAGCTGTTGTGGCCAACGTCACGTAGCCCCAACGCTTCGTCATCATAGGCGGAGCATCGCTGCAGCCAAGAGGCGATCATTCATCCTTCTGGGAAAGGAACGGGAGCGGCTCCCATTTGATTTCGGTAGTGTCTAGGATATTACTGTAGCCAAACCAAGATGATACAACAGTTTTATTTGGCCTACGTTTCGGCCTTATCGCCTTCGTCAGAGCCTGGAAAAAGTCAAAGATCAGGGTGAAACTATCCCTCAAACATCATTTCAAACCTTAGGTAAGTTCACCCCAGACCAGAAGGGTCCAGAAACCTGTCATGGGTTACAACCACAACATGACTCACCTTGAATGTACGGCAGGTTTTTGTTGGAGACCACCGCTAAACTGACTCCCCATGGGTGGGTTCAGCTGACCTAACCCGACCTGAAGCCGATGGCAACTGAAGCCCACACAGGTCAGCAAACGGGGCGAGCTCGTTTGTGATGGCTAGGCATTTCGTCCTTCTTGTTCATTTTGGGTTTTTAGTCGCTTATCCAGAACGATTCCAAAGTTTTGCGTGCCGAAGTCTGGGTTCTAGCATCAAAATCCTGACAGTTACTTCAAACTCAACGCCTCCATGACACTGAACACGATGGCTACCCAGGGGGGGTCTGTGGCCTAGATTTTCTAAGACCTTCCAGATGTTCCTTTACCCGGGAGCACAGGGGTCATCCTGTCTCCCCGATGTACTCATCCCCACAACTCGTGCATGCGATCAGGTAGATTACACCTGAAGTCGTGCAGTCCCCCTCCCGCCCAGAAGGACATGTAACACACTGTGGGGTTGGGCAGTAGCGATCATATCTGCGGTTGCGGACCAGTTGCTGCTTGAGGCTCACGGGGGGATCTCGACCACCCGAACCATCTTGTCGAGACCACACCTGCGTAGAGAACCTCTTACAGCAACGCTGATCGCATCACTTACAAAAGGTAGGCAAAATGGTACCTTATCCCAACCCCCGGTCACAGAACTTTGTTGGCTCCTCGTGGGTGGTCCAGGGGGGCATGCGCCTTTCGGGGGATAGCCATTAGATAGTGCTATATTCCGCGCTAACTCCAGGGACTCTTCTCTTTTTTCCTCACCTGACGAGACCATTTTAGCTGTCCTGTACATGTTAACGTTGATAGCCCGTTTGGTCCCGAGAGGATGCGATGACCGGAAATGGACTAAGATGTTCTCATTGGGGTTGTCGGTACCATTTGGTCCGGTAGAACTCGCTCTCAAGCTGGATCCGTACATTAAGGAATGGGATCCAACTGTTAGAAGGCTTCTCCCTTGTGAACCGGATATTCTCAGCTTGGCTATCAAGGAGGTTGAAACACGAGTCCATTTCCTTCTCCGTGGTGCAGACGATGAGGCAGTCGTCTATGTAGCGTCTGTACAAAATGGGTCGGCGATCCAGTAACGGTTGTTCTATTTTGGACATGTAGGCAATCGCTAAGACTGGTGCCAGCCGCTGACCCATGGCTAAACCTCTGAGCTGCCTGTAGTATTGGCCGGACCATCTAAAAGTGGAACAATCGAGACACTTAACGAGTGTCATTACGTATGTTATCGACAGGCCATACATGTTTATCTGCTCTTCGTGGTCTCTGAGTAGTTCAAAGGTGGCCTGCATGGCTATTTCCTTTGACACGTTTGTGTAGAGGGCTAATACGTCAAACGATTCCATCACATGGTTTCGTCTGAACTTGGCCACCCGTATCGAATCGAGCTACTGAGCAGTATTGCTGAGGTGGGCAGGGATGAACTGTAGCAGCTGCACCAGCACAAGGTTTAAAAGCCAGGAGATCCTCTCAGTGGGGCCCCCTACCCCACTTATTATTGGGCGAACTTGGAAATTTGAGGGATCAGTTGAGCACAGAGTTGTCTGCGAGAGTTTATGTGTTTTGAGCAGGACATAGAGAACTGGGCACGTTGGTAGATCACACTTCAGCCGTGTGCCCACTGTCCTTGGGAGCTCTGCAGACCGTGCAACTTCAACCCACACTCTGTTGAGTTTTCGGTATTGCTTCTTGAATTCTTCCTCGGATGATAGCCGGTACAGACTCTCATCTTGGAGGTGTGATCTTGTTATGGCAATGTCAAGATCTCTGGACAATACGACAAATTCACCTCCCTTGTCGCTCACAGATATTTTGATACATCACAGCGAGATCCCTCAATTCTTTCAGTCCCTGTCTTAGTGTCGCCGTGAGGTTAGAGGGCAAACGTTTCTGACTTTCGCGAGTAAGTATTGAAAAAACTGAGGTCGCGAATAGTCGGAATTTAATATCCACTGAAGGATTGGGGTCTTGCGGTTTGAAGAAAAGAGAAGGGAAGGGGATTGTGGGGAAACCCGACCGCGTAGCAGATTTTTGACCGTGTTCCTGCCCTTTGACCCTAAGTGTTTCTCATCATTCAGAAAAGCGGAACTTATTTACAAAGTGGAACAAATACTGTATATCATAATAGTAATAAATATATAATTAATAATAATGCAATAGTAAGTAATATAACACTAACAATACTAGTACTAAATAATAATAATAATAATTAATAGTAACAATTATAATAAAATAATAATAATGATAATAGTGATAATAGTAATACTAATAATAACATAACTAATAATGACTAATAATAATAATTAATACTGACGATAATAATAATAATAGTAATAATAATAATAATAATTATTATTATTATTATTCTAATTATTGTTACTATTATTTTTATTACATACTAGTATTATAGGAAGAACTGGGTGGCGGTCGATTCTAAAATAACACCAAGTCGTCCCAAAACACCACGGTTGGCCACATTCCGTGCCTGCTGGACCTGCGCCTTTGATTGAGCTGCGACGATATCATTCGTGGCGTCGTCATTAGTAATATGCCCACACATTTCCCAAAAACTAACTTTCTCATTAAAGGGTCGTCTCTTGGTCTCAAACTCTCTAAAACAACTTCATCTAATTGGTATCTGTTGGCTCAAGAAAAGAGGAGATGGATAATGTAAACGGTACCACACAAGAGCGTATTTACACGCGCATCATCGGAGCTGTTCTCTTGTTGTCGGTAGGTCCATAGCAGTGCTTGTTTTCCTTCTAACAAGCCTTTCCCAATTGCAGTTATTGGGTTAGAAGAATTCTCAACCAGAAGATGGCGGTGCTTTTCCGATATTGTTTAGTGCTATGTTTCTTCATTCTTCTCTAGTTTTTCTTCTAATCTACCTGACATGATCCCAGGCCGTTGCATCATCCGCTTGTTTTTCAGACGTCACGTTTTCTCTTGCACGAGGCAGCTCATGCCGTAGTCACGACTTCAGTGAGGTCTTTGTTAATGACGTCCGTCCATCTTTTATTTGACGCTGGGCTGAGGCTCTTCGCGGTCGTCTGTTGTAATTCGAGCTCCAATGCATTCCTGACATTGTGATCTTCAGACCTTCTCGAAACGTGTCTATACCGTGGCAATCGCTGCTCTCGCGCTTGCAGCTGAAAATAACCCCGTTCCTGCCCCTACTGACTCTGAAATGCGCCCAGCCAAAGGCCCATTTTCGCATGCTCATCTCTGCGAACTGAGGCTAGCTGTCGTGACTCTTGCACATACGGGCTAACACTCAATATCGTAGAGCATCCTAGCGCTCACAGCACGAGCACATCGGACACGTCGTACGTTAATAACTCCTTCCACGGGTAGCGTTTGGTTACTGGCGAGTAGGAATGTAATAGCCTCACTGAAAAATGTTTCTGGCTGATGACTTTTTTGGCTTTCAGTTTTCATCTACACTTGTCCCTCTCCCTGGGTGGCAGTGGATAAACAGGAGAATTTCTCAGTAAATGTGGTAAATGACTGGAAATTTGAAGGTTGGGGAGAGTTGAGGAAGGTAGCACGCTTGATGGGGAGGGTACTGCCCGACACCTCCATGAGCATCGTGGAATATGCTGGATTCCTCATGAAGCTTGCATAAGTATTCAATTATTCGATTTTCAATCTACCATATTGCCTACAGTACGTACATTTTCAGGTCTGTTCTATAGGAGCGCTATGCCATCTAGCTGCTTTTTTTATAATGGTTCGTCATAAGGTGTTTCGGAACCCATTTGGCCGTCTCTCTGCTTGCTACGCTTTTTCAAGCGCCTCCCTTCTTATTGTATTTCTTCTATGGTCCGTCCCGTGGACTATTTGGTAAGATACTATAACACAGTGCTCTACTGTAGAATCCGAACCAGGAAATTATAGTGGGTCACATAGTCGGTCCCCGTCAAAATAGCGGATCATTTTATGGATCCGTGCAAATTTTGTAAGCCTTTCAAATATTACGCTCTCTGTCTGAAAGCTTTTTCTTCTTGTTATCTTCGAATGTTGAACAACATTCAGCGATAGCAGGAATGAGGAAACGTTTGCAATTCTGAGAGATGAGACTCTCTGGCCAAGAGATCATGTCCAAAGGCTGAAGAGGATACGGCTGCATAGAAACTGAGCGCACACCATTTCTTTCAATGTAATGCATGCGCAAGCACATGTCGTATTAAAACTATTAAACTCAGCCAAATCAGTAGAAAACAATCAGCTGATTCCAGAAACGAGGAAATATGACTGCTCCTTCTCCGTTCTCCAAGTTGAGATCCGTTTTAAGTCCCTAGTTTCGATAGGAGTTGTACCGACTTGGTCATTTCCACAGCGCGCTTATGTACTTTGAAGAAGTACAAGCTATTACCACGTTTGCGCTATCAGCATGCAGACATGCATTGCATGTTCGTGGATTTGGTCAAAGGAAATCTCATTGAGACGAACATTAGGCTCCTATCTGACAGTCGTCTTAGATTATTCGTGTAGATGCATTGACGCCCCCCCCCCAAATCCATCACTGCAAAGCTAGGGAGATTCCTTGTAGTCAGCGATGTCTTGAGTTCACTGAAATATTATAACATTCAGGGATGTACCGGACAACTTGCACTATTTGAATCTGAGGATGGGACAATGGATTTTGGGTTTTTACGCGGCAGCGATCCATTCCAGTTTGATCATCGCTGTTAATAGGTGAGTTTCTCTTTATCTCTGGGATGATAAGGGTGTGCATATAGACGACAAGGTTCTAAGTAACTCGATGGTGAGGGAAAACAGGAAAAAAACATGCTAACCCTTTTGGATAGGACCCGTTTCGGTCCCAGTTTGTACGTGACCAGTTGACTCCATCTCCTGTAGTACCCCTCATCCGCACAGCTGATCCCCCGATAAGAACTCTACGAACGTACTAGTGACACCTGCAGCTTCGTTTTTCACTGAAAGGCTGGCTCTGGAGGAGGGGTGGAGGCGGAATCATTGGAAGTTCATACCGAACATCCCTGTAACGGTTTTGCGGCAAAAACCTTCAAAGGAGGGGCACTGTAGCGGAATATAGCAGTAACTCCCCCTCCCGGCTCCATATTTTCAACTTCTATACCCGATCACGGACCGTTCCTTTGAGTGGCTGCTTTCTCGAAACCACAATCAATAAATTGTTCTTACGTACAGATTCGTGGCAATCTCGTTCCCGATACAATATCGCACGTTTTTCACTCTTCGCACGACGTACGGTCTCATGGCAGTGATCGCTGCTACATTTGTAGTCAACTGGAGCGTAACTCTAATAAGTAATGGTTTTCTTCGAAGTTCCCCAACGCCTTCTCGGCATGGACTTCCAGATGGATGCGATTACTTCTACAGTCATGATCACATGTACTGGGCATATGGTAGTGAGCCGTGCGCCCAGTTTCTATGGTATTATGTCGAGGTTCAATATAACAGCTATGTAGCAGTAGCGGTCGCAGTGATTGATAGTATTGTTATCGTACGGTTAAGGTTGACAAATCAGGTAGTATGTATATTTCAGATTCCTCTTATAACACTTAGTGAAATTTCTTTGTACAGAGGAGTATTTCGCGCATGAATGGAGGGCAAAGAGAAGCCGCTACACGGAACAAGAGAGAGTTCAGGTTCTTCATGCAAGTGAGTTGGTGAAAAATCTCTATGGTACATTCAGATTCCTCTTGTCAAAATCAGGATTTGTTTCAATGCCCTTTACCGCAGTGCCTGTTGTTCAGAATAGTTCACCTAAAATCAGTGCTGGAAGTTGTTTCATCAAGATAGCTGTTATTTACCGCCAAAGTTCGCTCTTTCAATGTTGTCTTAAGAATGCCAAAGTTATGGGCAAATGTCTCGATCAGGGGGGGGGGACTGAACGCCACAAAGGCTAAATCACTTCGCCCCTAGGATCAAGACTTTCGCCTTTAAGTCAGGAATCTTGTGATAGTTGATGTTGGAGTCGCTTCAGAACCATGAAAAAATGTCTGGAGTGTGGCTGTAATAATTCAGTTCAATAAAAGAAGTTGCAAACTTCACAGAAAGCTCGTATCCTTTTGGTGACATTTTTGATTCTCGGAGAAAAGCTATCCTTGTTGATTTTCCAACAAAATTTTGCAATATAAACACCTAGGATTTTCTCCTCACTGTCCGCGGTGGAGAATAAATTAGTTTCCAAATATGTCCCCTACTGTACATCTGAATAGCGTCCGAGAGGAGAGGATGTCATACACAAACAATCCACAAACAATCTCAAACCTGCTCACTATGTGCACGGGAAGGGCCCACATCTTAGCCACTCGTGGAAAGTGTCTTCGAATCATGAGTATGTCCCATCTAATTTAGCCTGTGGTGCTAAGGAATATCAACTTTCTGTTGAACATAAAACGGATTCCATTACAGTTCCAGAACGAAGGTGCGGATAAAATGGGAACCAGTTAGAAACTATTATATGTAGAGGAGTTTCTGCATATCCGCTATTTTCAGTCTATTGCCTGCTCAGGTGCTTTCCTGGTGCTGCTCGTTATCTACTTTACGTTGGCTCCTCTTGCTACGACCGATTTCCAATTCTTCCTATGCACCACGGTAGCCTGGACCTCCACTCACGCAATTGCGGGGTAAGTGGTTTCTAACTCAAAGTTTCTGTCTGACCTCTCCCATAGCGACCTCCAAAATCATCAAACTATCAACAAGATCCCTGACTTAGAGGCGAAAGTCTTGATCCCAGGGGCGAAGTGATTTAGCCTTTGTGGCGTCTCAGTCCCCCCACCTGATCGAACATTTGCCCATAACTTTGCATTCTTTAGACAACTTTGAAAGAGCGAACTTTGGCGTAGAATAACAGCTATACCTTGATGAAACAACTTCCAGCACTGATTTTAGGTGAACTATTCTGAACAACAGGCACTGCGGTAAGGGCATTGAAACAAATCCTGATTTTGAAAGAGGAATCTGAATCGTACCATAGAGATTTTTCACACAATCACTCTGCATGAAGAACCTTGAACTCTCTCTTGTTCCGTGTAGCGGCTTCTCTTGCCCCTCCATTCATGGCGCGAAATACTCCTCTGTACAAAGAAATTTCACTAAGTGTTATAAGAGGAATTCTGAAATATACATACTACCTGATTTGTCAACCTTAACCGTACGATAACAATACTATCAATCACTGCGACCGCTACTGCTACA